ACAGCTAATTACAGATGAGGGAAAGACATTCATGAAACATGAATATAAAGAAATTAAATTCTGTGATTTAGTTCAGACCTGCTAGGCTTTAGAGAAGAGGCCAGAAATGGCACTGAAAAATATGAATTTGAGGTGAAAACACACAGGTGTTTCTCCATTGGCAGGAAGGTCTTTAACTAAACTCCTCCTTGAAGTAAATCCCTTTGCAAATGGCAGTCTCCGGGGATCTGGCTGTGAATTCCTGGCCATTACACAGCAGTCTGCACCACAAAATGCCACGTAGCTCATGCCAACTTCTGAGACATCCAGAACTACCCTGGAAAGCCCCAATAGGGAGTGGAGCCTCCTGAGAGGGAGTGGAGCCTCCTGATGAGGATTAAAAATCCAGACCAACCACACCCCCATTTCTCCTTCCATCTGGAGGCTCACACTGGCTCTACCTTCCCTTCCCTATTGCTGTGCTCCTCCTCCTTCCCTCAAAGCCAAATTCCCTGGTGGGATTTTTCTCCTGCCCTTAAAACCCATTCAGAGATGCCAGAAAGAACTCTGCTTATAATGCCAGAAGGAAAAATCCCTGCAGAACATATCTGCCTTATGTCCCTTTGGTAGAGATTTATTAACTGGATTTTAGCCTTCCTCAAAGACTGAAAAACAATTCTTGAAACAGAGTGAGGAGCATTTACAAGTCCCTGATAACAGGCAAAGCTCTGGGGGCTGTGAGGACAGCTTTAGGGGTAGAGGACAACTCTTTAGGGGAAGAAATTAGATCTTTTGTCCCCCTTTCTGCACCAGAAACAGAAGTTTGGATACACCAGGCTCTGTGGTTCTTTTCAATCACCCAAAACTGTTGTAAAGCTGCTGGTGGCCCAGGAGGTTTTTGTCTTTTTCAGGCCAGTGCTTATATCAGGATGGTGAGAGACTGACCTCAGATGCAGCATCACCATTTCAGGAGGGGTACAAACACACCATAATTGATAGGTCCCTTTCTTCAGGGCTTCTGAAGATCAAATTACAGAATAATTTAACTCAGAAGGGACAAGATCAAGTCTCTCAAGGCCTTGTTCAGGCAACTTTTGAATATTCCCAAGGATGGAAATCCCACCATCTTTCTGGGTTCCTGTTCCACTGTTTGACCGCTCTAATGCTGGAAATGTTTTCCCAAGAATCACTGGCTAATTAATTACTCACATTTGGGGATTCCCATGTAAGGAGTCATTGTGGGAGGCTGAACGTGGTCTCCAAGGCCAGGAATCACTCAGAGCCACGTCTTGCAGGGTTGGCTAAAGCAGGATGGCAAACTCCAGAGGTGACAGACCAAGGGATACTCACAGGACAAGAGGATTAAAGTGCTGCCACTGTCAGGACACTCAGCTCCTTCCAGTAAGAGGAGCCAATTACAAAATTACAGGTTCCACCTGAGCTCTGCTTTCCTGCCTGTGATGGAGGAGGCAGTTAGAGCCTGCTTTGGTAATGAATTAGATACAATTATTAGAGACCTATTAAGGCAAAGTAATTATTGGTTTTGTTACTGCTTTTATTGTTGGAGAACCTAATGAGATCCATACCAGGTTCTACACAAATACAGGACTGAGAACTATCCCTCCTCTGAGGAGCAAGAGGGAAGGGCCCACTCCTCAGAACACCTCAGCACATTTAAAACTGCATTTGTGGGATGTGTTCCCCTTGAGATCATCCCTAATCAGGCAAATTTGGATGCTGAAGGGTTTACAGCACAAGGTTTGGGTGTGTCAAACCAGACCTTGGCACTAGCCCAGTGGCAACTGAAGTGAGATGGGCAGATGAGAACCAGGACAGGGAGCCAAGAAAGGTCATTTAACCACTTCTAAATGTCTTTGCTCTTTGTGCAAGTGCAGTATCTTGATTCACTTCAGATATTCTTTGTAAATCGATCGGACAAGATCCACAGATCGCTTGCAATCTTATGGGCTTGGATGGAGAGGGTGCAATCAGGAGGAGCTCAGGAATATTGCAAGGGAGCTTTAAAACCAATCGACAACTCTCAATGTAACATTGAAGCTGTGACTACGTCAGGGGTGGTGTTTTGTTTTGCCTTTTTTTTTTTTTTCTCCCCATGTATAAAGTTTGAAGCTTCCCAGGTCTTCTGGGAAGGTCTCACAGAAACAGACACTTATTTGTAAGGGGGAGAGGGAAACCAACCAACTGAACAAGCTGTAATTATTTAAAGATGTAAAAAAATATCTATTATGAAGTAGTATGGCTACCAATCCACGTAACTTCTACACCTTTAGAACTAATGGAAATAAAACAATGATAATAAAACCAGAAGGTTTCTGCTTGATTCTTTTCTGCTTGTCTACCCTTGTAGGCTTATTGGAGAAGGCAGGGGGTAAATGATGAAATACTGAAAACATGAAATGCACCCGGAGAAGAAATGGTGAAGTGGGTCCTGTCCCAGAGAGGTCACAATATAAAAATTACAGGGAATTTAAAGTCAGAAAAGATGAGATCAGTTTTCTCAGAGACCTGTTCAGTCAAGTTTTGAACATATCCCAAGAGGGAAATCTCACCACCTCTCTGGGTTCCTGTTCAGTGTCTGACCACCCTCACGGTGGAAATGTTTTCCCAAATCATAGAATGTCAAGGAGTTGGAAGGAACCTTAGAGCTCATCTAGTCCCACCCCTGCCATGGGCAGGGGCACCTTCCACTAGACCAGGCTGTTCAAGGTCTTATTGAACCTGGCCTTTGACACTTCCAGGGATGGGGCAGTCACAACCACCTTCGGCAGCCTGTTCCAGTGTCTCACCACCCTCAAAGTTAATAATTTCTTCCTAATATCTAATCTAAATTTCCCCTCTTTCAACTTGCACCCATTACTTCTTGTCCTATATAAAATTCCTATTTAATAAATATTAGATTATTAATGATAAAAATCTTTGGTAAATTAATTGCCTAGACCTGGGAATTCCCAAGCAATGAGTCATTGCAGGAAAATCAATGTTATCCCCAAGCCCCAGAGCCACACAGGGCCCCCTCCTATACATAAGATTTGGAATGGCCAACACAGGATGAAGAACTCAGAGGTGACAGACCCAGCTTGGAGCAACCTGGTCTAGTAGAAGGTGTCCATGCCCATGGCAGAGAGGTGGAACTGGATGATCTCTAAAGGTCCCTTCCAACCCAAATCAGTCTGTGACTATGATTTTAATATAAACGAGGAAAAGGCTCAGTACATAAGGAAAAGCCCCCAAACACAGAAGAGAGGGGGAAAGCCCTTGGGGGCACTTAAAAACCATCATGACTTAGCTTTTTGGTCTTCTCGCTGAGTTTTACTCGGTAGACCTTGTTTAGCCTGAATGCTTCCAGCTGAACTCAGAGGCAACAGCCTCCAGCCGAAATCAGGCTGTCAGCCAGGGCTGTGCTGAGCCACCTCCCACTCTGCAGGGGCACAGCCCTGCTCTGAGCGCCCAATCACCCTGCCAGGTACTGCCCAGCTTCCTTCCCAGAACAACCGGCTTACAAACCGGTACAGCTGGTGGGGTGAGTGAGGCCAACACCTGGAACCCGCCCATCCCTCCCCCAGCAGCCAACTGGGGAGCTCCCCTGCTTTTTGGGGAGGGGAGGGAGGATCTTCCTCCCTTGTAAAAAGGTGGGTGGAACAGATTTGTGTGCAGTCCTGTTGAGGGTGTGTGAAGGTGCTGTGGGAGGAGTCTGAGGGCAGAGGAAGGGCTGTGAGGAACAGGGGGGAAGGCTGCCCAGGCTGCTCCATAAATGGATGCATAGGGTGGGTCTGGGGAGAGCAGTGGATGAGAGGTGGATGCAGGAATGTGGGGCTTGGGGGAAAAGCAGTGGGTGCCTTCATTGCCCTGGGACGATGTGGGTGAGAACGGGGTGGGAACTCAGTGCCTGTTTTCTGAGGATGGCTCCAAACTGATGCTTGGCTGAATGTGAGAAGATGGAGAGCTCTGCACCCCCCTGACTGCGTGTGGAGGGTCAGAGCTGTGCCTTGCAGCCCCTGCAGGAGCCTTGCCCAGGGGTGTAAGGTCACAGGGAACCTTCCTGAAATCCCAGGCAGAGCTGGGGTGAACTGCATGAGCCTTGTCCTTGCTCTGTTCTGCTGTGGGTGCTGGGCTTTTGTCTGGCCTCAGGAACTGGGAATGAGTCCATACAAGGGGAGGATTTGTCCTGGAGGCCTGGCTCCCTGTCCCAGACCTGCAGAGGTACCCGCTCAGGTACCATGCTCATGGTGAGATGGGTGTCATGCCCTGCAGAGGGCTGGGGATGGTTTTCCTTCTCTTCCTCCTTGGAGAGGGGAGTGCTTTGGATGAGACTGAAGTGGGTCTGTAGTAAAAAGCATGAAACAAAGAGGTACATGGGGATAAGGGAATCAGGTACATGGGATAAGGATGGCAGATGCTGGTGGTTCTGATGTGCTGGGGAACAAGGCAGTTTCCCTCTTAAGGAGTGTTCCTTTGCTGTCAGACAGGCTACAGCTGGGGCAGTGTGAGCATTAATACCTTACAAAGCTCCTGGCACTTCCAGTCTCTCACATGGAGCTGTGAAGAGCTGACTTAGCAGCAGTCAGAGCTCTGCAGGTGATGAACTTCCCTGGGATGTGAGCTCTGGGCCCACAGGGCTGTCCTGCCTGACATGAAACCAGTGCCTGGAAAATCAGGGCAGACTTTCTTGAATGACCTGTGCCCAGCTGTTTCCAGGGATCCAAACTGCTGCTGGTGCCTTTGGCAGCAGAAGCATCCTTTAGCTGTCTCATGATCAACATAATATGAAGATTTTTTGAATAAAACTAGAGCAGGCCTGTGAATAATCATCACATGCCCTTGAAGGCAGAGGACTAAAGCTCAGTCTTTTATGCTGCTAAATCTAGTTTTGATGACCACTTAATATCTGTACATGGATCTAAGACATTAAATTAATGTTCCCTAACATGTTTTCCTCTTGTGCCCTTCCAAAAGGAATTTGGTTTGTGCTGCAGCACAGGAAAGGCTGGCATGAGGTGGGAATGGCTCTTGTGGTGGGGCACTCCAGGGTTGCTGCTGATTTTCTCATCAGGCTGTCTCAGAGCTGTGCCAGGTGCCTCAGAGCCCTGTACCGAGTGCTGTGGCGCTTGAAGCTGAGCCTCTGATCAGTGCTGGTCTCTGGGATTAGTCTGCAGGGAGAACTGGTGCTGTGGGATGAAAGCCAAGCCGAGCCTTCCTTGTACACCCACAGCCAGCAGAAGTCCCCAGAAAAACTGCAAGTGACTGGGGCTTCATGCCAGAAATAACTCCTTATGTATTGGTGTGGCTTCCTGGAAGGAGCTGCAGGATGGTGCTGCCTCATCTCCCCCTCATCCCTTCTGCTCCCAGATGCTGTTAGCAGAGTGTAGGAATGCTTCCCAACTGGTTCCATACCATTGCAGTCAGTGGGGCAAGCAGTGGGTAAAGCCAGGGGTGGGGATGTTCTAATTCCAGGGCTGATCTTTCCATTGGAGCAGCACTTGCCGGGGTGTATAGGGGAAAAAGATGGGTCACTGGCCTGTGCTGGTACTGGGTCACTAATCATAAAATTACAGAATGGAATGGGTTGAAGGGACCTTAAAGATCATCTACTTCCAACCCCTGTGATGTGGGCAGGGAAACCTCCCACTGCCCCAGGAAAGAAAGGACTTTGGGAGATTCCCCAGGCCAAATTCCTGTTTGCAGTGTGAAAACTGCCATTGGAATATGTTATTCAGGGCTGTGTTGGATTAAATTATATATATCTGCTAGGATGGAAGCTCCTCCACCATCCTGGTCCTATTTATCTTCATGGACTTTTCCACAGGAACTTGAGGAAAATTAGGAGAATATTTTGTGTATTTCTGAATTGCAGCTTCCCTTCAAGTCTAGGGCAGAGTGTGACAAGGACCTGCTAATCCCTCTGCAGCTGCTGGAGATGCCAGAGGGCCCGTCAGTGAGGAAGTTCCAGCTGCTGACCTCCCCTTTTGTGGGACAAGTGGTGGCCAAGGTGGGGGGAAGCAGCCGGAAGCTCAGTGTGAATGACCTGAATGCCCTGAGGCTCCAGGACTCCCAGGTGCGTTGAATTTACAGATCCATGACAAGTCTGAGGGCAGAAATCACCATTGTCCTGCACCTGGGTGAGAGAAGGTGCAGAACCTGTGAATGTTTCCCTCAGGGTTTCACCTGGCTAAGTTGAGATGTCTGTGCTGTGGGTACTTGTCAGAAGTCACACTGGGTTGGTCCTGCTGGGGCTTCACTGGCCTGACACCCCCAGATGATGATTTGGACCTGACTGGTCAAACCCTAGTGCAGCCTCGCCTCTGATTAAAGGTGCGGAGCAAAATTAAAAGCACAAAATGTGCCCAGCACAAAGTGGGAAGATGAATTAGAAGCAATGATGACAAATTTCAAACCCCTGAGTGTCTGTCCTGGTGGGCCTGATGGGAATCTCTGTGAGGGATTCAGAATTGAATGGCATCTAAACACCTTCTGCTTCAGGCAGGCAAAGAAAGGAATCTGCAAGGATGACCCCAGCTCTGATGGGTATGGCATGGATGCTGATGAATCCCATGTTCAGGGTGGGCTGATGTGCCCTCTAATAGAGGTTGTGGAAAATAAGTCCCTTGTATGGAAAGAGACAGAGGTTTTGTCCCTGGAAGTGTTCAAAATCAAATTGGATGAGGGCTGAACAACCTGGTCTAGTGGAGGCTGCCCTTGCCAATGGGTGGGGGTTTGGAATGAGATGAGCTTTAAGGTCCATTTGAACCCAAGCCTTTCTAGAATGTTATGATCCTTTATGGATCACATCCCACCTCTTTTCTCAGGTTCATGGGAAGAACTTGTACCTGGCATTTGTGGCAGCTGAAGGTCCTGTTGGACCAACTGCAGAAGAGACAGCGCTGCAAAGAGAGGCTGCTTGTGGGGCACACTGTCCTGCCCAGGGACAGCAAGGACAGGATGATGCTCCACATTCCCATTCCCAGGATGAGGAGCTGCAGGAAGCCCAGCACTCAAGATCTGAAGGCCCAGAGGCAGCAGAGGGTCGGGGCAATTGGCTGCGCATCCACTTTGGCATGTTCGGCAGCGTCCGGGCAAACGAGTTCTCAAGGGCAAGCAGAGCCAATAAAAGGGGGGACTGGAAGGATCCTGTGCCCAGGTATTTCCTCTTTTCTCCCACACCAAATCTGCGTGGGAATGCTCTTAGCCTTGATTTTCTCTGATAATTTTTAAGGCATGAGTGAATGTGGGGTGTGTTCAACCAGAGAATCCACAGTGGAATTGTAGGATGCAGTTGTCTGGGGATTATAGTACCAGCTCTGCTAAGATTTTTATCTTGAAGAGAGAAGTTTTAGGACGCCAGGCTGAATCATGCCCTAAAAGTGCCAGTTTCTCCCAGTTACATGTTTTTAAAAAATCCTTGGATAAATAACAAATGTCTCTTTCACCTGGAATCACAGGGTGGAGTGATGCTGTAAAAGGCAGCAGTGAATTGAAAACATGGCTATGGTTTGTGTCCTATATCCCACTGGAATTGTACAGAGCAAGGAGGAGCAGCTTCCCAGAGAAGCTGTGCCTGCCCCATCCCTGGAAGTGTCCAAGGCTGGACAGGGCTTGGGGTAGGGGAAGGTGTCCCTGCCCATGGCAGAGGGTGGCCCAAGATGATCTTTGGGTTCTCTTCCAAACCATTTTATGATTCTGTGATTTTTTTGAAGGATAACTTTATTTCTATACAAGTATTTTTAGACACAGTTTTTTGTGCTACTTTTAACATTCCTTTCTCTGATTTGTGGACTGTCCTGCTGAAGGCTTTGTCAACCAGGGTCACAGGGCAGCAGAAGGACAAACTTTTCACCAGCTGTGTGGGTTTACCACCGAGCTTCATGGCTGCTGTTGTTAAAGATGCCACCTTGCCTTGAGACAGTGGCCAGCTGCAGAGTATAAAAAGTAGTTCAGAGATGTTTCTGATAAGAGACTCCAACTTCCCTGCTTCTCCCAGGCTGGTTCTGCATTTTGAGAGTGGAGGCTTCCTTGTTTTCTACAACTGCCGGATGCTCTGGTGCTCCTCTCCGAGGGCTGATCCTGCTTCTGACATCCTGTCTGTGGAATTCCACCGTGGCCGGGCGCTGCGTGCCCTCTGTGCACCCGATCCCATCTGCTACACCCTTCTAGACCAAAGATATTTTTCAGGGCTGGGTGAGTTCCAGGGAATAGGGGCAGAAGGAGAAATGGAGGAAGTTGGGTGGGATGTCTACAGATGCAGAAGTGCATGTCTGGGCAGTTTTCTCTTTAGTTTAAGAGCTTCTGGTTGATCCAGCTGAGGACGTGTGGTCATCCTCAAAGTGTGTAACAATGGCAGAGGGAAGAGAACCTCTTCCAGTCCGATCCCAGCTCTAAGTCTACTCTTTGGATGCCACCTCTGGTACAGGGAATGGTGTTGCTGGCTGTGATCCTTGAGGCAGAAATCACAGGTTGGAGCCAGCAGCCTGCATTACCTTGATGAGAAATACCCTTAGTGTCTCCTTGTTTCTGACCCCTTCCAGGAAACATCATTAAGAACGAGATCTTGTACCTGGCCAGGATCCACCCGTTAACACCAGGCTCCCTCTTGGCTCTCTCGGATCTGGAGCGTCTGCTGGACTGCGCCGTTCAATTCAGCTCTGAGTGGCTGCACAACAAACTGCGTGGCCAAGGGCTGCACCCCCAGGTGTACCAGAAGGAGCAGTGTCCCCTGGGGCATCCCCTGATGAAGGGCACTTTTGGACCCTCAGGTGGCTTCAAGAGACTGACGTGGTGGTGCCCTCAGTGCCAGCCTGCGGTGCTGCCAGGGGATGGGGACCCTTCCCCAGTCACTGAGTGACCTGTCCTGCTGGGTGGTCTCTTGATCCCTGCTCTTTATTGTCCTAGAAGGTCTCTGTGGTTTCTTTTAGGTTGTTGAGTTTGGTCCTTAGGGAGTTGTCAGAGTTAAGTGCTCAGTGGAGGTGCCAGGTCCCCAGAGTGGCTGCAGAAAGGAAAAAGTGGCTGTCCATGTTTTTTTTCTTTGTCACAGTGACACCACAGTGTAAAGAGTTTGAGCAGGTTTGAGGTGCATTGGTCACCCTGTTCAGGTGGAAGTGGATGGGAAGTGTAGAAGGTTGAGCAGGGGATTGCTGTGGTCTGAAGTGACCCTGTCACTTGACCCCGGAGGAGTCAGCAAAACAGAGGATATCCCTCTGCCTAAGCAGCTTGATTAATTAGGAATTAAATAATCCTACCTCTGTTTGGAGCTGAATACCTGTGTGCTGGGCTGTGATTGGGTATGGTTAAACATGAGGGGCTGTTCCCTGTGTCAGATCTGACAGGAACAGCTCTCTCCTTCCACATCAACATATACAAAATGTGTGTCAGCAGCGCTCGGTGGAGCTCATCTCTGCACCCACAGGTTTCAGCTTTGTGGCAAACTGCCAATTCTAGATCTCACTGTAAAAATTAAAAAAAAATTACAGTGTGTGGTAGTGTTGCATAAAACTCAGGATCTCCAAGGAAACCTGAAAGCAGAAAGGTTTGGAAATAGAGCTGTGTCTCTGTATACTAGGTGGGAACTGCTGCTGTCCTCTCTCCCTGGATTTGAGTTTATTTTAATAATAAGTTGTTGACTTGAGCAAAAAAAAAAAAAAAAAATAAAAGCTGGAATTAGAATCAGTGATGTTCATCTCAAGTGTGTCCTTTTGGTAGTTTCTTGGTTAAAAACTGGGCTGTACATGGAAATTCCAGCTGCCTGGAATTGGTTAACAGCTGCCTCATTGGTGCTGCCTCTACAGAGTGGTACCAGTGACTTTCCTTGGCTGTGTAAGTGGTCTCATTAATGGGAACTGGATTTGAAGATGGATTGCAAATCAGCTGGGAATGCTGGAGGTAAACACATCTGTTTAGGCAGCTGCTTCCTAGGCAAGACTTGCACAGCCTCTCCCATGTGAACTGCAACACCTTTGAGTGGTTGCAGATTATGGGATTGCTGAATTAACCAATTAATGGGGTTATGGGGCCAAAGAAGGTGGTTAATGTCCCTTCTGCAGGGTGTTGGCCAAGTGCCTGTCCAAAACAATCACAGAATATCCTGAGCTGGAAAGGACCCACGATGATGATCAAAGCCCAACTTCTGCAAGAAAACCACTCACGAAAAAAGAACCTCAAAAGCTGAATCTTGCACTTTGAAGGATGAGGATGGAGCTGGGTATGTGTTGGGTTCTCAGCACAGGAAAGGTTTGGACGGTGGAAGCAAGTCCAGAGGAGACCATGGAGGGTGCTGGAGCCCCTCTGCTGTGGAGACAGGCTCCGAGCTGGGGGTGTCCTGCTTGGAGAAGGCTCCAGGGAGACCTCAGAGCCCCTTTCAGTGCCTAAAGGGGCTCAGGAGGGCTGGAAAGGGACTTTGGACAAGGGGGAATGGCTTCCCACTGCCAGAGCACGGGGTTAGATGGGGTACTGGGAACGAATTCTTCCCTGTGAGGAGGAGATGGGGGCTGGGGTGGAATTCCCAGAGAAGCTGTGGCTTCTCCACCCCTGCAAGTGTCCAAGGCCAGGTTGGACGGGGCTTGTAGCAACTTGGGATAGTGGAAGGTGTCCCTGCCACAGCAGGGGGTTGGAACTGGAAGGTGTTCACACTCCTTTCCCACGCCAACCCTCCCGTACTTCCATGGCGGCTCCGCTCCCCTCACGCTCACACGAGGGGGTTCGGGGCCGCCGACTCCTTCCCGCTCCGCCTGTGCCGACGCGCGCCTCCGCCAATCAGCGCCCGCCGCCGGCCGTCACACCAGCCGCGCCGCCTCCCTATTGGCTGGCGCTGCCCTGGTGCGAGCGCGCCTTCGCCAATCGGCGCCGCGCCCGCCCCACCGAGCGATGTGCCGAGCGCTGTGATTGGCTGCGGGGCGGGGCTGGAGCGGCCCCGCCCGTGCCCGGTTAAGCGGCGGGTGGGAGGGGGCGGCGGGAGCGCGCGGCGGCGGCGCTGGGGTCTGATCGCGGCCCCCATGGAGCTGCTGCGGAAATGGCTGGGCCACCCCGAGGACATCTACAACCTGCTCCGCTTCAAGATGGGCGGCTACCGCGCTGTCATGCCGCGGATGGACACGGTGAGCAGCGAGGGATGCGCGGGCGGCGGGAAGCGCTTCGCTGTCGCCGGTGCGCGGTGCTCCCGGCGGGGAGCGGGGAACGGGAGGAGGAGGTGGTGGGGGGCACTCTCATGTCCGGGCGCGGATACGGTGTTGCCATGGGTGACCGTCCCATATAGGACTTTGCCCGGCTTTGTGCGCCCTGTGTGCGCCTCGGTGCTTCGCGGCTTAACCGGCTCCGGGCATCCTATCGCATTGCTTGTGTGTGCATCGGTTCCGGGCATTCCACCGGTTCCGGGCATCCCTGCGTTGCCCGGTGGCCCGTACCTTGCGAGCTTCCCACCGGCTCCGGGCATCCCCTTGCATTGCTCCGTGCCGGTACCAATGCCGAACATTGCAAAGCCCCGGTGCTACCGGAGCATCCCGCGGCTCCGGCCATCCCTTGCATCACTCGGTGCCCGTACCCGCATTCATCCCACCAGCTCCGAGCATCCCTTGCATGGCTCGGTGCCGGTACCCTGCCCGCATCCCCGGTGCTCCGGACATCGCACTGCCCCGGCGCTGTCCGTACATGGCAGCGTCTCCGGCACGGAGCCGGGACGGGGCGGGTTAAGGGGCGGGTTTCGGGCGGGGGGCGGAGCGGCCGCAGCCCCCCGCCGCCGCCGCCGCCGTGCCCCCATGGGAGCCGGCTCCCGCGCCGTGTCCGTGCTGCGGCGGACACTGACCCTGTCCCCGCCGCGGAAGCCCCCGCGGGCAGCGGGCCGGCGGCGGGGACAGCAGCAGCAGCAGCAGCAGCGCTGCGGAGCCCCCGCGGCGCCCCCGGCCCCGCCGCCCGCCGCCCCCCGCCTCCGAACCGCGGCCCCGCTCTGCCCGCAGGACTCGCTGGGATGCGGCCTCCGCACCTGCTACCGGTACCTCAACCAGACCAGCCGCAGCTTCGCCGCCGTCATCCAGGCTCTGGATGGAGAGCTGCGGTGAGCGGGGGGACACCGGGGAGCCGGGGAGGGGACCCCCGGCACTGGGGGTCTTTGGGGCCTGGTGGGTGGGGTGCCACCCCAACGCTGGGGATGCTCGGGAGGGGGTGGGCACAGCTGGTTCCTGATACCGGGAATCCTCTGGAGATGGTGGGGGTAATTTTCCTCCTTGGGAGGTGGTGGGTACAATGCCACCCCGACACTGGGGATCCCTGGGAGCTTAGTGAATGCAGTGGCCCCCCCAGTTTCAGGTCTCCCCAAATGCTGGTAGGTGTGATGCCCCGCAATACCAGAGCTGAGCCCATGCAGTACCCCCAAACTCCATTTTTCTGTAGTGGAGCTGCTGGGACACGCTCCCTCTCCCATCAGGAGATGACTGGACTGGCTCAGCTCAGCCCCACCCCGTGCAGCAGGACGTGGGGCTTTTCACGTACCAGCTGGCTGTACCACATCCCCCCTCCGCACCACATTCCCCCCCCAAACTGGGTCTCTGGGCTGAGCCTCCTGGCCAGCAGACTGTTAAACACAGGGCCTGGCAGTGTGCCACGTGTGACACCCTGGGAATGTGTCCTGGCACTGCCAAGGCTGGCGCTGGACAAAGGCTGGAGGGAGGAGGAAAAACCTGGGGCTGACCAAGGGTCTGGGCCTTGCCTGGGAGGTGCTTTTGGAAGCAGCTGCTTCAAAAGCTGTGCAGTTGTCACAGGGGGTTTGTTGCACACCCACTTTTTGCTGTGCAGATTTTGCTGCCCTGTGCAGAAAAGCTTCAGACGGGAATAGTAACAGAGAATGTAAAGCTCAGCTGGCCAGGGAGCCTCATGCCATGTAATTATTCTCCATATAATTCCTTATATTCATTTGACAATTACTGATTTCAGTTTTTAAATCCCCAGTTAATTCCAAGATGGGTTGATGATCAAATTTAGGGGTTCTGGAAGTTGTTCCAGACACATGTGATGGCTCTGATCTGAGCAGTTGCAGGCACCATCCCAAACACTTGGTGGTCTGTGGGGTTTCTGAGCCCTGGTTTGGCATTTTGGATGGTGCCCCATAGCTGTGTCCAGTGTTTATGAAATGCTGTTTGCAGCCTGGTTGACAAGAAAGGCAGAGAAGTTCAGTGGTTTGGCTGAAATTGCATGGAAAAGTACAAGTAGGGCCAAGAATTAAGCTTTTTATTTTCCATGTTTTTTTCTGTGCAGGAATTAAGAAAAAAAATTAAGAAAACACTATGAAACCTGTTAGCAATGTGTCTGCCCTGCGCTTGCCTCAAACTTCCTGCAGTTTTCTTTGTCTGTCTTTTTTGTCCTTTAATCCTTGCCCTGCAGCCTGCTGGGATCAGGATCACCCTTCAGGGCACAGAAACTTCTTTTTGGCATCCTAAAAATGCTCTTGCCTGATCTTTGCAACCCAGGTTGGGCAGGGATAGTGGTTGGATTACAGCTGGCTCAGTAGTGGATCAGGAAAGACTAATTTTCAAAGCCCAGGAGTTCCACCAGAGAATTTAGGTACAAACAAGGGAAATACAAAATAGGGAGGATAGAGAAATAGGCAGAGCCACAGCCTTACAGAAGGAATTAATTTTCCTGGATAAAAAAGTGCTTGCATTGATGTTGACCCCATCAGGGAGTTCAGCTGAGCCCCTGGTTACAGACAGGCATCCCAGAAGGGCTGCTGGAAAATGGGGAACTTCTGGAGGAGTGCTTGGAGCAGTGCTTCCCTGGCCAGACAAGGTATTGGTAGTTGAGCTGAAATGCCTGGTTCCTCCTTTCTGGTATTTTTTTTGGCCCCATAAACCACCTGTTTTGCTGGCCAGAGCCCTGTCCAGCTCGTTGCTGCATGGTTAGGGCGTTTTCTGGGAAGGTGGGAGGTTCAAAACTGCAGTTTCATCCACGGCTGAGCCAACAGCATCATAACTGCTGGTGGAGGAAAAGAGTTATGATCCAAGCTCATAGCTGCTCTCCTGGTGATGGAGAGGAGAAGAGGGATGCTTCTGCCTCTCTGCTACCAGTTCCATGGTCTTGCCTGTCTCTGGAACTCTTCAGGATCTATTCCTGAGGGTCCAGCACAGGCTGTATGTCCTGGCAAGGAGAACGGAGACCTCCTCACCTGGGCAGGAGGGAGCTGCACCCAGGACAGGGCTGGAGCTTGAGCTCTGGAAGATCCAGACTTGTTCTTTGCAAGTGTCTGCTTCCATTTGTGCCACAGGTCTAAATTCAGTGTGTGGTGGAAGTTAGGGAGGCAGGTAAGGTCTGGATGCAGAATTTGGGTTAAATAAGTGTTTTAACTCTGCTGGGTTCTGGAATTACTGCTGGCTCTTCCCTGGGCATGATGCCCATGTGAGAGGTGCCTCTGGGATGGCATTTCCAGGTTCTGCTCTGCCTTTCTTGGTGGCTCCTGGAAGTGGGTTGGAGCCTTGGGCACTTGCATCCTGTTGGATGAACATTTACAGCCTGGCTGGAATGGAAAAATTCAGTCATGCAAAGGAACAGGAGCACGGGAGAGCTGCTCATGTGGTTTGACAGAGGTTTTAGTTACCCTTTTAATCAAGGAAAAAAAGCCAAATTTAACACTATTGGCTCTAAGAGCAAGTCAGTTTCCCCTGGGTGATTAATCACTGCTTGCACATTGTCGTTCCAGGAGTACAGCACTGTCACCTGGTAATTAGCATTTAGGCAGACCAAGCTACTTTCCATTTGTTAAATAATTAACAAATACCTTGTCTCCTTGGCGTATATCCCTGTGCTCATGGAGATCTGGGATTATTTTATATAAATCCTGGAGTTGCAAACAGCATTTCTTGCCATCAGGACTTGTTTTTTGGTTTGCTTTTTTAATTTTTTTTTTCTTCAGCTGCAGAAATGTGGAGGCAGGGATGGGGAAGGAAGCAGGGATAGGGAAAACAGGGCTGGTGGGAGCAAGAGGGGAGGTGGCTCTCCAGCAGCTTCCTGCTGGGATTCTGGGACACATGGGCTGCCTCCAGTGTCTTGCTCCTGGAGATATAAAATACAGGGTGATTTTGGCTCTTTTTGCCAGTCCTGATGTTCCTGATGCACAGTGTGACCCCTTTTTTCCCTCCAACAGAGGGGGGAATATTTTACCCCAGCAGGGTAAAAGGTGTGCAGAGAAGGGGGAATGATGGGGAAACACACCTGGTTTTACCCCCCTTCCCTATTTGACATTTGCTTTTCCCAATAAGCTGTCCTCGGGCTCTGTCCTCTGCGTCCAGGTGAGCGCTGGCCTTGCTTGCAGGGTTGGATCTTCCCTGCTCAGGGAGCTCACAGGCCTGACCCTTCCCTGATACACATCTAAGAAACCCCCAAAACCATGCTGTAGTTCTTCTCATGAGGGAAAATCCTGTATTTCCTAACCTGCCTGGTATCTTCCAAAGGCACCTGTGTGACACGCTGAGCTCAAAGTGCCTCTGCTGAAGGCTCTGTGGTAAATCCCAGCTGCTTGTCCTGGCTCCTAGGCACTCCCAAGTAAGGGATTACTGTTTTTTCTCCCCTCCCAGACATGCAGTGTGTATATTCTACCTAGTTCTCCGTGCCCTGGACACTGTAGAGGATGACATGAGCATCCCCTTGGATGTCAAGGTCCCGATGCTGCACGAGTTCCACTCCCACCTCTACCAGCCAGACTGGAAGTACACAGAGAGCAAGGAGAAGGACAGGCAGGTGCTGGAAGACTTCCCAACGGTAAGGCAGCCTCCTCCTTGCTCCTGGTGGCACCTCTGGGTGCCTGGTTGCCTCCACGTGGTGCCTGCAGGTCTTGTTCAGTGCCACAGATCTTCCCAAGGGCTCCAGCACCTGCCTGTGGGGCTGGGTGCCAAGCTGGGCTGGGAAACCCAAACATTGTGCAACGCTCTGAGGCAGAGGGGACCTGGCTGTGGAAAAGTGCCAGCCATGGAAAGTGTCTTTTTGCCTCCTCTGCTGGAAGAGCAGATGACCATTGTCTCGTGGGGAGAGATTTGGGGCTGTTACCCAGCACAGTGGGAGGTGTGCCTGCCCTCAGGTAGGGCAGAGGGTGGAATGAGATGAGCTTTAAGGTCCCTTCCCACCCAAACCATTCCATAATTCCGTGATCAAAGGCAAAAAGCACCCTCACTGTTATTAGTAACAATATTGTGTTGATTTTTTTATTACTGAGTTGATTTTTAGGGTTTTTTCTTCGCTCTGTTTAAGGAAAAATGTAATAGTTGTGGTGAGGAGCATCTCATTTTCAGAGGATGTTCTGTTTTGTTCAAGTTTTTACCATTTTTAATTTATTTTACCCTTTTCAGGCTTTCCATAGCAGTGGGAATGGGGTAGTTTTGTGGAGAACTGAGGTGTGTTGTGAGTTTTGATGTTTAGGTTTGGGGTGACCGTGGCTGGGGCCTGTCAGAGTGTGGAGTGCTATAGGGGACGTCTGTGTTGGGATTCTTGGCAAGAAGAATGTGGGTAGGGATACAGTAGGTATGTCAGTGGCTTGGCTTTAGAGGAGCTCTTGAGAAGGTGTTTGTGGCACTTTGCTGTTCTCTCTTGGTGTATGTGTTATTTATTTGAGGAAATCCATGCTCTGGTATGATTTTAATAATCATAAAATTGTGGAACCATGGAATGGTTGAGTGTGGTGGGAGCCTAAAGCTCATCCCATTCCATCCCCTGCCAAGGCAGGGACACCTTCCACTAGACCAGGTTACTCCAACTCCTATCCAACCTCACCCTGAATTTTTTGAGGGGTATTCACAGCTTCTCTGGGCATCCTCTGCCAGTGCCTCACCACTCTTATAGTAAAAACTTCTAATAATATTTCCTAGAGGTGGATTTGCAGGCTGTGCTCCTCTGTGTAGGGGGCAGAAGCCACAGAGAAAGAAGCAGAGTGGATACATTTATTTTTCAGACAAACCCTTGTTTCACACAAACCCTGGGCTGGCTGCAGTCGCCCACTGATGGAGAATAAAGCTTAGCAGAGTAAAACATGGTTGGTGCTCCACAGTTTTGGGAAAAGGAGGATGCACTTTTTAATTTTTTTTTCAGTGTGAGAGTGATGGAGACACTGCAGGTATCCCTGCCCATAGCAGGGGGGTTGGAACTAGAAGATCTTCAAGGTCATTTCCAACCCAGCCCACTCTGTGATTCCATGATCACGTTACTGGAGATGCAGTAGAAGGATTTCACACTTCCCTCACTGCTCGATGCCTTTCCAGTTGTGCCAAATGTGTGAAGCTAGAGCTGGAGAGGGCTGGGGAGAGCAGAGCACCAGAAACCTCCCATGGGTCTTTTCCCATGGCTGGTGTGATGGAATGCTCTCAAATTACAGAGGAAAACAGCTCTGTGTACCAAGTGCAGTCAGTTTTGTCCTGCAGCTCCCAGATGATACCAGTCCAAGGCCACAGAGCCTTCCCAAAGATTCTGCTGTGTCTGATCTCCTGCCAGAGACCATCCTGTTTAGACTGGGAACAGGCTAAGCCTGAGCTCCAGGGACCTTGAAACAGCTCAGGTTGTGAGGAAGTTGTCCCAGATCTCCAGACAGAGCAGGATTAGAGCCTGGTAAACAGTATTTTTCTGATTTGTTAATAAATGTTGAGCTGTGCTGCTTTTTTCTTCCTTCCTGAACACTTTCTGTTTTTACCACACTACAGATCTCCATGGAGTTCAGAAACCTGTCCAAGGTCTACCAGGATGTGATTTCTGATATTTGTCACAAGATGGGGGTTGGGATGGCAGAGTTCTTGGAGAAGAAGGTGGATTCTCAGCGTGAGTGGGACAAGGTGAGTCAGAGGAATGGACTGAGCATGAGTAGGGTCATGGAGTTAAGGTTGGAAAAGCCCTCTGAGACCATGAAGCCCAAATCATTCCACCAGCACTGCCAAGGCCACCACAGAACCGTGTCCCCAAGTGCCACATCCACAGGTTTTTTTGAACACTTCAAGGTAGGGTCCACCTTGTCTCTATGAAAGGAGTAGACAGAGCATCCCTGTTGGGAAAAAGTGTTTGTTTTCATGGGAAAGCTGAGACATCCCAGGGAGACCTTGCATCAAATGAACTGTCAATTGCTTTTTGTAAAACTCACTGTGGCAAACAGGCAGCTCTTTGTAACTGCTCCTTTTATCTTGTTTTTTTCCCCCCTTTCCCAACTTGGCACCTCCTTGGCAGTATTGTCACTACGTTGCTGGGCTGGTGGGGATTGGCCTTTCCCGTCTCTTCTCTGCATCAGAGCTGGAAGATTCCATCGTGGGGCAGGACACAGACCTGGCAAACTCCATGGGCCTCTTCCTGCAGAAAACCAACATCATCCGTGACTATCTGGAGGACCAGCTGGAGGGAAGGGAGTTCTGGCCCAGAGAGGTGAGGAAAAACCTCATGAAATTGCTGCTGTTGGCTGTACATCTTCTTGGTAATGACAGTTCTGATGACAGCTGGCTGACATCTGTCTGCAGCTCTCTGGGTACAGACGTGGGGACAAGGTGATGGCACCATGCACTGCCAAGAACTACTTAGGCAGCTTTCTCCTCTCTGCTGGGTTTTCTCCAGGATTGAAGGAGGATAAACCTGGCTGAGCTCCCAGGAGGGTACCCAGTAGCTCCCAAAAAGCAGGATCAGCTTTGCCTGTGCCTGTGACATGATGTCCAAAAATTTTTCTCCCCCTTTTCCATGTGGCTCAGCTGTCTCATAGGGCACTTCTTGATGTGTGACTCGCCTTTTCCTTGCCCTCCCTAGGAAAGATGTGGAGATGAGTTGCACCCTCCTCCTTTACCATCTCTTTGTGTACACCAAGGCCACTGTCACGTCCCCACAGCCTGCCCTTCCTGCTTTTCTTTACCCCAGCCATGCTCCGAGGCTGTTGTGTGGGGGTTTTTGGGGGTTCTTGTTGCTCTCCCAGACCTGCTGTCTCTCTGATGACATCAATGCACCCTCCAACTCACAAACGCTTATCTTGGTGTGTAGGTTTGGAGCAGATATGCCAAGAAGCTCTCAGACCTTGCCAAGCCAGAGAACATCGACGTGGCCGTGCAGTGCCTCAACGAGCTCATCACCAACGCCCTCCACCACGTCCCCGACGTCCTCACCTACCTGTCCCGCCTCAAAAACCAAAGTGTCTTCAACTTCTGCGCTATCCCCCAGGTGAGTTGAGCTTCCAGGTGGTTCCTCATCTTCTGCAGCCCATCTGGTGAGGAGTTGGAGGTGGAGGAGGTTCTTTGTTCTTGGTTTTTTTGCTTATTTCTTGGCTCCTGCCATTCCAGCTGTTGTTGAGGTTGTGGCTCCACTCCGTGGATGTCACTGTGGACAGGGTGGTCCCTTGGCAAGTTCCTTGCAGTGCAAGCTCCTGTCTGTCCTCAGGTGATGGCCATTGCCACGCTGGCTGCCTGCTACAACAACCAGCAGGTGTTCAGGGGGGTGGTGAAGATCCGCAAGGGCCAGGCCGTCACCCTCATGATGGATGCCACGAACATCCAAGCTGTCAAAGCCATCATGTACCAGTACGTAGAAGAGGTAGGCTCAGCAGTTTGCTTTGGGTCATTTCTGGCTGTTCCTGTCCCCGTTCTTGGGGTGGAGTTGGGAGTACATGGGGATCTGTTCATTTTATCCTTGGCTCAGGGGTGGTGGGGAGTGGTGACCCTGATGTGGTTTTGGCCTGAAGCAAACTGTGCTTGATGTGTTCCCTTGAATGAACTCTGGGTCTGGGTCTGTGTTGACAAGTAAGGACTGGGGCCAGTGGCATCCTGGCCTGGGCCAGCAGTGGTGTCCAGCAGGACCAGGGCAGTGCCTGTCCCCTTGACACAATTCTGGGGTCAGTCCTGGGCCACTCACAACACGAAGGACATTGAAGGGCTGGAGCGTGTCCAGAGAAGGGAATGGAGCTGGGGAAGGGTCTGGAGCACAAGGAATAGTTGAGGGAGCTGGGGAGGGGCTCAGCCTGGAGAAAAGGGGGGACTTTACAACTTCCTCCTGACTTCAGAGTCCTGTGGAGATTAAAAGTTCATGTGGAGAGTCAACTGGTGGGGGGTTTTCTGGGAAAAAAAACACCTCCTTCCCCAAAGCCCAATTCCAGTGAGGGCTATTAAATAAAAAGACTTCACTTCTGCAGCAGGGAGACCCCAAACCATGGGTTATTAGAGCTGCCCTTGTGAACTGGCCGATCCCATGGCAAGGGACAGTGACACTGCAGGGCTTTAACCCAGGAGAGGGTCTCTGCTTGTGCCCACCTTGCTCAGACTCCTGCAGAGGAGCATCTCATAGGCCATGAGAAGAAAACCCCAAATGCCACAGAATCAGGAGATGATGAGGCTGTTTCCAGGCAGGAATGTTCCCACCGGTTTCAGGTGGGCTATACAGCGAGTGAGGATTGCAGGGTGAGAACCCCTGATCCCAGTAACACCACTGCTCCCAGTAACGCCACTGGGGCTCGAGGGATCATGTGCCAGGCCATGTGGTCCATGTCCCATCACGGGGTGCCCTCAAGAGGCAGCTTGGCTTAGTGCACTTCCCAAGGGAGATGGCCCCTGGAGCCATCCAGCTGTCCCTTGCTTCGTGGCACTCCACCACCGACCTCACTCTTGGCCCTTAAAACTTCAACCCCCTCCCGTTTTCCTCCCTGAACTTCCTTGTGGGAGCCATAACAACTCCTCCCTCCTCCTTCAGATCTACCAGAAGATCCCGAGCACGGACCCCTCGTCCAACAAGACGCAGCAGGTCATCGCCTCCATCCGCGCCATCAGCCTGCCCGGCAGCCCCATGGCCTCCCGCCACCACTACTCCCCCATCTACCTGTCCTGTGCCATGCTGCTGGCAGCCCTGAGCTGGCAGTACCTCAGCACCCTCTCCAAGGCCACCGAGGAGTACGTGCAGGCAGGAGACAACTGAAGGGCAGTGGCCGGCTGGGGGGACAAGTGGTGGCAGATGGGTGGCAGGAGGCTCCTCGTCCCCTGCTGTGGGGATGGTGACAAGTGCTCGTCCCCAGCACTGGGATGGTGACAAGGATGGGGCACTGGGGAGCTGCAGCCCCCGGGGTGGCAGTGTGGCACTGCTGGGCTCCATCCTCACTGCCCTTGCTGTCTGCTTGGATGGCTGCAAATGCTGACTGGAGTCTTAGTGTTTGGGGTTGGGTATTTTTTCCCCCCTTCTTTGCTGTTTACCTGAATTTTTTTGGTGATTTTTTTTTGTTTGTTTTGGTTTTTTCCATTAGGATGGTTTGAAATAGAAACTCCAGTTGTTTCCTTTCTTCCTTGAGATTTGAGGCATCTTTCCAGCTCAGAGCTGAGCAAAAACCTGAGGGTTTTGCCTCCCTTTCTTAGGCAGCCTCTTCTCCCTCACCTCTGGTGCCTGCTCCATGCTGGAAAGATGCTGCTTCAGCTGGGAGAGGAACATGTTTCCTTGTCCAAGGAAAAAGCTCTGGCCACTTTCTGGCCCTCAGTGATTGACATCCTGCAGCCTTTATGCAGGCAGAGAGTAGTCACATTTCTGTTGTGCTGAAGGATGCTGAAATGGGCCCTTTTCATGTTAAATGTATGGGAGGTGAGGTACTCTGTCCACCTGAATGTGCCCCCAGCTGACAGGCAGCTGTGCAGCTCCCTGCCCTGGGACAGATGGCCCCTGCAGTGACACAGCTCTTGTTTCAGCTGTGGGGAAGTGGTTAAAATGAGCAGGGAGCTGCCAGCACAGCCCTGAGCTCATAACCCCAGGCCTGACTCCACAGCAGGCTCTGGGCTCTGCACTGGCCCAGCCCCAGGGGATGGGTGGTGGTGGCAGAGCAAGGCAGGGGAGTGAGAGTTTGCACCCTGCTGTCCCTCATAGGATGCTTTTTTAGGGGGGAATTGGTCACCCTGGAAGGCAGGAGTGATCCCTGCCAGGAGCTGGGAAGGCTGGAGCCATGGAGGGGGTGACCAGGGCAGGTTTCCCTGACCCACTTGGCTCTGGCTTTGGGTCACACTGATACGTGAGCTGCAAGAGGCTCCCACTGCTGTCTTCAAACAGGCTGGACTTACAAGAGGAAACAGCACTCTGAAGGCAAGTCCTGTTCTCCTGGGGTGGATTGTTGTTTTCATGGTCCCTACCCACCCCCTTCAAATGCTGCTTTGCTGTCCTGAAGGGAAGGAGAGTCCATATCCTGGTCGAGGACAGAGATACCAGGTGCAGGGTGGTAGCTTTTCAAGGCCAAGCCCCTGTGGCCAGGCTGTTACTCAGAAGGAGAGCCCCTACTCCACAGTTCCTGGTGTAGATTTAAGCTGTTGTTCTAAAGAAACTCGTGGTAGCTCTCTTTGTGCAGCTTCCCGTCTTGTTGAAATTAAAAGTTTTCTTTGGGAAAAAAAAAAAGTGCTGGATTTTTTTTTCAGCTGTCATTACTTTTACGCCAGTAATTTCTCCACAAGTTACAAGCCCTCAGCTCATAAAATTCCAATGGTCCCTTGGTGCCCAGTCTGGGTATCAAAGTACAGCCCCGTGTGCCAGAACTGGGGGAAGAATTTTAACCAGAGGGACAGCTGAGGGTCCATAAATTCACCTTGAAAGGAGTGGTGGCACAGCCCTGGGCTGCAGGAACATGCTCCAGGGCCTGGTGCCTCCTCAGGGATACTGGGGCCAGGTGCTGGCTGCTCTCTGCTCCAGGTGGAAGCACCTTCCCCACCCCCAGCACACACCCCCCGGGCTGGCTGTCACCAGCAGGGCCACAGGACAGGGCTGGCAGTGACCACACCTGCACAAGGGAGGGGATTCTGCCCCTCTCAGGTGAGACCCAACCTGCAGAGCTGCCTCCAGATCCGGGGCCAACAGCAGAAGGATGTGGAGCTGCTGGAGAAAGTCCAGAGGAATCCACAGGGATGCTCCAAGGGCCAGAGCCAGGCTGGGAGAGCTGGGGGTGTTCACCCAGAGAAGAAAAGGATCCAGGGAGACCTCAGAGCTCCTTCCAGGGCCTAAAGGGGCTCCAGGAGAGCTGGAGAGGGACTTGGGACAAGCCATGGAGGGACAGGACACAGGGAATGGCTTCCCACTGCCAGAGGGCAGGGTGAGATGGGATACTGGGAGGGAATTGTTCCCTGTGAGGGTGGCAAGGCCCTGGCACAGGGTGCCCAGAGAAGTTGTGGCTGCCCCTGGATCCCTGGAAGTGTCCCAGGCCAGGCTGGACAGGGCTTGGAGCAGCCTGGGATAGTGGAAGTTGTCTCTGTCCATGGCAGGGGTGGGACTGGATGAGCTTTTAGGTCCCTCCCAACCCAAACCATTCTCTGAGGACAGAAGGGTCTCACTTGGCTTCCACTCCAGACAATCATCTGAGGTGGTAGAAACCAAGCAGAAGCAACCAAGAGCCAGGAGTCAAGACACTGGAGAAATCATTTATTGGCACAGGTATTCCAGCCAAATACAGCACAGCTCTGCCTCACTGGTGCCTGAGCAAGCAGAGGTAAGGGGCTATTTTACAGTGCATGGAGAGCCTGCTTCACACATTTCAGACCCAGGTCACTAATATATTTTGTGCTTTAAAATTAAAAAAAAAAGCTCTTTGCTATATTAGTGTTGGCAAATCACATGATTCCTCCTATACACAACCTGTTACCTTTCCCCAGTAACAAAAATAAGGGGTTTTACGTTCCTTAATGCCTGTGGCTCAAGAAAAAAAAGCTTTAATTGTGTCCAAGTTAATGAGACACCTCCAAGCTTGAGCTCCCTGCAGCAGACTTGGGAACCATCCCTCAGCTCAGCACCTGCAGCCCCAAAGCACCCCAAATTTGGGTGCTGCACCCTTGCCCAGGCATGACCTACACACACCAAGCTGCTCAGCCGTGGAGGAGAAGGGCTTTGCTCTTTCCAGCTCCCTCCCAGATGCTTGCAGGATATTTGATCAAAGGCTCATGGAGCTCCAGCCAGGCCCTTCCCCAGCATCAATAACCCCAGACTACAGCAGGTAAAAAAGCCAGTGAACAGCTGAGGAAGAAGTGGTTTGAAAAGCCAGAAGGATGGAGCAGGGCAGGCGATGCACGAGGGACTTGGTGCAGACAGCTCTGGCCAGAGCCACCCCCACAGCAAGTTCAGCAGTATTTTGTTCATTAATAGGTCTAAATTTAGCCAGTTCAAGGCACACACTCACAGGAAATCCTTCCCTGCTTGTTTTGGGTGCTAACAGTCAGATCAACCCATCTGGGGGTGCATAAATCCCCCCTGGCCATGGCTTTCCAGCAGCCTCCACCTCTGCTGCCCCACCAAGTCCCTAATCCTGGCACAAAGCTGCTGTTTCCTGCCCTCCCAGTAGCAAACTGGGCTGGAAGGGGTCCAGGCTAACCAAATTCCAAGAGGCCAGCGAGCTCTCCAGCAGTCCTCTGAGCAGGGAATGCCCCAATGTCCTGCTGTGACCCACCAGAAAAGCAGGAGGTTGGCAGAAAGCAGTTCCACCTCCAGCTCCACCGTATGATTTAAAAATCAAATACAAACCCAAAAATTTTTAAAAGGAAAAAAAACCACGAACAAAAAATTGGAAAAAAAAAAAAAAGAAAAGATAAAAAGCTTTAATAAAGTAACCTGAACTAGAGTCTCTTTTAGAAGGGAGGGTCTCTGCACCCAACCCACTATCAGTTAAAAGCATCAGGGACTCAGGATTATTTGTGGTTTGATCAGAGTTACATCCTCTTCCAGTACTGCTCAGTCCTGGGGATGCCAGCCACAACCTCGGACTCGATGCCACAGTGGTCCTCTCCTCGCAGGATTTTGAAGAAGCCTGGGAGAACACCAAGAAACAAAAAAAAAAAGTCACCGTCTGCATCCGTGGGAGGGGAATGGGGCAGAAAAATGGGAAATGGGGCGGGGATTCCCGGTGGCTCTCACCGTTCTCCCCCCAGTCGGTGTTCCAGGAGTTGGCCACCAGCCAGTAGGGAGTGTCGTTCTCCACGCCCCAGCCCAGGATGCGGATGGCGTGGCCTCCCACCTGCTCCCCGGACACGTGCTGGTAGACCCCTGCAAGGGAAAAACACCCCAAAATGTCAACAGGCACCATCTGTCCACACCACAGAGTGCCCACAGGCTGGGGGCCACCCGGTATCACAAACCCCAGGGTGGCTGAGATTAATAATATATATAAATTATATCATCATTAAATATTATTAATTTTGGGTTTTGGTTAAATGTGAAACTGAAACTTAGTGCAGAGCCTGGAGGAAGGAGTTCTGCATGGGGAGATAGTGACAGGACAGAAGGGAAAGGTTTCAAACTAAAAGATGGGAGATTTAGGTTGGGTGTTAGGAGGAAATTCTTTCCTGTGAGGGTGGGGAGGCCCTGGCACAGGGTGCCAGAGAAGCTGTGGCTGCCCCTGGATCCCTGGAAGTGTCCAAGGCCAGGCTGGACAGGGCTTGCAGTAAACCTGGGATAGTGGAAGGTGTTCCTGCCCATGGGAGGGAATGGAACGAGATGATTTATTAATCATTATCTTCCCACCCAAACCATTCCATGACACTGTGACCGATGCTCAGCACCAGCTGAGCACACAGGACACCCAGAGACATTCCCCAAGGGGCTCAAAGGCAGTTCCTCACAAGTGTTTTGAGGTCCTAAAATCCAAGCTGCTGTTGTCAGCTTGAATTTGGGGTGCTTCCCTTAGGGCTCCTTCCCTGATCCAATCCCAAGAATTGATTCCCCTAGCTATGGATACAGGAGGTGGCATCTGCCCATGTCCCTGTCACACCATACTCAGGTGTGAGGTTGAGATCTCCAAGAATGGAGAAGACAGACCAGGGCCAGACAGACCAGGACCAGACCCTCTGGTTGAAGCTCCCCCCCACAGCCCCCGTGGTGCTGCTCACCAGATTTGTACATCAGGAAATCCTCGTAGACAATGAAGGCTCCTTCCACTGGGCCGTTCTTGTAGATCTCAGCCATGATTTCCTTCTCACTGCGAGGGACTCCGTAGGATGTGATGCCTAAAAGGAAAAGAATTCCCACCATTAGGATGGCACTGTCAGGCCTTGGCTTGACCAAACCTGCTCCGTGTGACCCTGCAGGAGGCCTCTTGCGCTTAAATTCAGGTAAAATCCAAACCCAGTAACTCCAGAGGGACTGACACAGCCAAGCAGGAAAAGTGGGCTCCAGCCACCCCTCTTCCAGAGGGAATTATTTAATCTGAGTCCTATTCTGTACCCAAAGATATATTCCAGACAGCTGCAGTGGGAAGGGATATTTTTCCCGGGTACATTCTGCTTTTTAAAACCCAAAATATTCCAAGTGAAGACAAATCTCCAAGAAACAGATGGATTATGCTAAATGTGCAGGGCCGGCTGTTGCCAAGGAGACTTGGAGGTGGCTTTGACACCAGATGGGGCTCAGCACCACACTCCTGAAGCCAGCCACGTGCACCAGGAGGACTCAAACCAGTTCCACCAGTTCCCCCTTTCCAGCTGAGTCTCAGCAAACACAAACTCTACATCTGCCACACTCAGGTTTGCTCCAGGACCACCAGAACGGAGCCTCCGGGGACAGGAGAAAAACACACCAGGAATGGGTTCAATCCTGCCCAGCCCTGCCAGCTGCCACCAGGAGCAGCTCTGGAGGCCACCTCTCTTACCATAGTGCTTGTCCTCCTTGTACGAGGGTGAGTAGCCAGGCTCACAGTGCCTGCTGCACCTCGGGGTGCCCCCTCCCTCCCCGGTGCAGGGGGGCCGGCTGCCGTTGACGTGGTGCTCGCAGGGTGGGATGGAGTAGGGCCGGCAGCCTGTCCAGGACAGAGGTGACATCAGCTGCCTGTCCCCAGAGATCCCCACAGCCGCGCTGGAGAAGCCCCAGGAAAGAGCCTTTCTGCCCCAGGAACCCCAGAAATTAGTGGGGTGCAGGAGGTCTTCCCCCCATGAGCAACGTGTTTCCCACCACGCCTGCTTCCCACCACCTCCCCCTGCAAACGGTGATGGAAAAGGTGGAAACATGAACCAACTGATGGTCACGACAGGGGGAGGCAGAGGGTTCCAGTCTGGAAGTTATTTTTTGAAGGAGGAACATGTCAGGAAGACTCCTGACCTCATCCAAAGCGTAGTGAACTGGTTCAAAACCAGCAACAACACAAAATTCACGGCCTGATTCATTCCTGCTATGGAAACAGGAGCCTTGAGGGTGTGTTGAGGGCTCCTGGCTCCCTTCCCAGATGGGCCTCCTGCCTCTGGGTGCTCCTCAGGGACCCTTGTCCCAAAGGAAGGAGCCATGGGGGCAGGGGCAGCCAGCTGGGACTGCAGAGGTGCTCGAGCTGAAGGAGGGAGCAGGCACAAGGATGCAGACCAGGAGAGAAGGGTCCCAAAAAACATGAACTTTAACCAAGCAGAGATGCTCCTCCCTGCTTCCCCAAG